ATGGTAATAACGAGATTACAAACAATTCACGGAACTTGTGGGGTTTAACCTCATGCCAAGTGAGTTTCAGGACTCATTTGCCATGGGTTCCAATTCTTCATCCCTCCACCAGTTCCCTGATTTACAAATACCAATGCAAATCTTTGTTCCAAAATTTCTGTATAAAACATATGAACATGTGATCAGAAATCACAACAGAAGCCCAACAAAAATATGAACAACAACAAAAATTGGAAAGCCACTCAAGATATTAACATTTTAAAGAAAATGGTAGAATTGGATTGTATATGGAGCACGGAAATTTTTTAGCAAGAACAATAAGAGAAGTAGCAATGTTTATGATGGTAGTGTGTAGCAACAATAAATTACGATCCCCTGTCAAGGAACCTCTCTTGAAGGGCGAAAGTAAGTATACATTCGTTCAGTTTACCCTTCTATCTTATTTGTTTTTGATATTGCTTATTATTACAGTCGTTATGAGCATGTAGGTGTGCTGGCGAGGCAACAGCAGCACTAACCGTGTTCCTGGAAGCAGCAGCAGCAGCAGCGGCTCGCAGCTCCAGTAACTTGTCTGGAAAGATGATCTGGCGCACCCTCCTTCCCCTGCTGCTGCTGCTGCTTTTATTACCGGTGTTCCTCCTGCTGCTTTTATTCCTGCTACTGTTCCTCCTCCTGCTAGTGTTCCTGCTGGTGCTGGTGCTCCTACTGCTGGTTTTGAATACATCTCCTCGCCCACATTCTGGAAAATATAATTCTCCAGAAATCAGCCATCAAATGACACCAACTCCAAAAATGGAATTAGGTAAAAGGAAATCCCAAACAGATGGGTATAAGAGCCACGAAGAGAGAGACTCACCTACACAAGCGTTGCAGCTGAGAGGACACACCAGTTGTAGGAACTTGGGGTGAGTACGACAGCGTCCCTGCGTTGCCCATGCCGGGCACTCCTTAGAGCTGTCTACACAGGCACCTGCATCACGACAACACTCTTGTAGTCAACGCATTTTAAGGAAAGGGTCGAATATAAGATTTAATTTCAATAATTTGTGGATATCTAAGTGTATATAATCCTAATTCTTTTTCTGTCACTCACTATTACGGTGCTGTGGGGAGGCTGGGTAGACGAAAGTGAGCAGCAGTAGCAGTGCCACACACACCACAACACCAGGCACCAACCTCATCACCATGATGATACAGTCACTAGGGCTAAGAAAGTAAGTCAGAAGCCCAACTCGATTCTCGATCCTCGCTGTGTAACCTGGAAGAGTGCGAGGTGTGTTGGGCTCCACTGAGGGTAGAAGAGAGGGTAGATTCGTGGCCGGAGAGCTGACCAGACAGCTCCTACAACCTAACATTACATGAATTTACTGCCGCTCTGTCGTATTACTTAAAAAGTACGTACAAAAAAATGTATGAAGATACTTTTTACATTTTATTTTATTTGTTTGGTTTAATGGGTTTAAAGTATATCTACTACACGAGGTTAGGTTAGGTAAGGTATGTCAGGTAACATGACAAGACAAGTGTTTCCTGACGCGGGTCATTAAAGCGGCATGTCACTGTACATCTCCACTTAAGGAGGTGTACAGTGACATTATTTTTTTTAATAATTCACATTAAGCGCTAAACCCATTTGGGTCATTCAGCGGGTGTCTCGCACTCTGTCTGCTGAGTACGAGACAGACGCGCTTCCTCTTTGTACTAGCCTATTTCTGCTTCAGTTTCTAAAATACGAATTAAACTCTAAAGGAACAAGGACCAAGTAAACCAAGTCCTAACCGATATAAGCTGGGAAGATATACTAAGCAACACAGACCCAAACTTATGCCTAGAACAGATTAACTCGGTGGCACTCGATGTATGCACAAGGCTTATTCCTCTAAGAAAAAGGAGGAGTAGATGTAAAATAGAAAGAGACAGGCGCTCCCTTTACAGGCGACGGAAAAGAATAACAGAGCGGCTAAAAGAGGTCAATATATCTGAAATTGCGCAGGGAGACACTGGTCAGAGAAATAGCAAGCATCGAACTTAAGCTAAAAGAATCCTTTAGGAGTCAGGAATCGCGGGAAGAACTAAAAGCCATAAATGAAATCGAAAGAAACCCAAAGTATTTCTTCTCCTATGCCAAATCAAAATCGAGAACAACGTCCAGTATTGGGCCCCTACTTAAACAAGATGGGTCCTACACAGATGACAGCAAGGAAATGAGTGAGCTACTCAAGTCCCAATATGACTCAGTTTTTAGCAAGCCGCTAACCAGACTGAGAGTCGAAGACCAAAATGAATTTTTTATGAGAGAGCCACAAAATTTGACTAACCACAAGCCTATCCGATGTTATCCTGACGCCAAATGACTTCGAACAGGCGATAAATGACATGCCCATGCACTCTGCCCCAGGGCCAACTCATGGAACTCTGTGTTCATCAAGAACTGCAAGAAGCCCCTATCACGAGCCTTTTCCATCCTATGGAGAGGGAGCATGGACACGGGGGTCGTCCCCTCAGTTACTAAAAACAACAGACATAGCCCCACTCCACAAAGGGGCAGTAAAGCAACAGCAAAGAACTACAGACCAATAGCACTAACATCCCATATCATAAAAATCTTTGAAAGGGTCCTAAGAAGCAAGATCACCACCCATCTAGAAACCCATCAGTTACACAACCCAGGGCAACATGGGTTTAGAACAGGTCGCTCCTGTCTGTCTCAACTACTGGATCACTACGACAAGGTCCTAAATGCACTAGAAGACAAAAAGAATGCAGATGTAATATATACAGACTTTGCAAAAGCCTTCGACAAGTGTGACCATGGCGTAATAGCGCACAAAATGCGCGCTAAAGGAATAACAGGAAAAGTCGGTCGATGGATCTATAATTTCCTCACTAACAGAACACAGAGAGTAGTCGTCAACAGAGTAAAGTCCGAGGCAGCTACGGTGAAAAGCTCTGTCCCACAAGGCACAGTACTAGCTCCCATCTTGTTCCTCATCCTCATATCCGACATAGACAAGGATGTCAGCCACAGCACCGTGTCTTCCTTTGCAGATGACACCCGAATCTGCATGACAGTGTCTTCCATTGCAGACACTGAAAGGCTCCAGGCGGACATCAACCAAATCTTTCAGTGGGCTGCAGAAAACAATATGAAGTTCAACGATGAGAAATTTCAATTACTCAGATATGGAAAAACATGAGGAAATTAAATCTTCATCAGAGTACAAAACAAATTCTGGCCACAAAATAAGCGAAACACCAACGTCAAAGACCTAGAGTGATTATGTCGGAGGATCTCACCTTCAAGGACCATAACATTGTATCAATCGCATCTGCTAGAAAAATGACAGGATGGATAAGAGAACCTTCAAAACTAGGGAGGCAAGCCCATGATGACACTCTTCAGTCACATTTTTCTATCTAGGCTGGAAAAATTGCTGCACTCTAACAGCACCTTTCAAGGCAGGTGAAATTGCCGACCTAGAAAATGTACAGAGAACTTTCACGGCGCGCATAACGGAGATAAAACACCTCAATTACTGGGAGCGCTTGAGGTTTTCTAAACCTGTATTCCCTGGAACGCAGGAGGGAGAGATACATGATTATATACACCTGGAAAATCCTAGAGGACTAGTACCAAACTTTTCACACGAAAATCACCCCATACGAAAGCAAAAGACTTGGCAGGGCGATGCACCATCCCCCCAATGAAAAGCAGGGGTGTCACTAGCACGTTAAGAGACCATACAATAAGTGTCAGGGGCCCGAGACTGTTCAACTGCCTCCCAGCACACATAAGGGGGATTACCAACAGACCCCTGGCAGTCTTCAAGCTGGCACTGGACAAGCAACTAAAGTCAGTTCCTGATCAGCCGGGCTGTGGCTCGTACGTTGGTTTGCGTGCAGCCAGCAGCAACAGCCTGGTTGATCAGGCGCTGATCCACCAGGAGGCCTGGTCACAGACCGGGCCGCGGGGGCGTTGACCCCCGAAACTCTCTCCAGGTAAACTCCAGGTACTGAGAAATACACTACCTTCGGTGTATATAAACTGATATACATCTCGGTATATACACAGATATACACAGGATTCGGTTTGCATACTCCTGGTTTTTTTCCCTTTATATCACATCACTAATAAATTATATAACAGCAGTCCTTTATACCTAACATCCTTAATCGAAGTAAGCCACACCTCTTGGCTTTCATGGGTTACTAACCCTCAGTGGACAATAATCAAAATAAAACTCTCTTCTGTATCTTACATTACAGCAACTAGCTTCATCTTCCATTACAGGATATTACAGCAACATCTCACAACCGCAGGGAAGCATCTTAAAACGCTATTGCTGCTGCTGGTCCTCTTTCGTATTTAATGTAGGGAAAACCACCTGTCATGTATTATGATGTGATGTGGAATTTAAAATGGGGAAAGCCACCGAAAGGCCCTCAGTCATGTGGTTAAGCGCGGAAATTAATAATCTAGAAAAACTAACATTTAACCCTGATCTCTGCTCGGACATGGCAACAGTTGCAGTGCCAACTCTGTGGACAACGCTCTTACTATTTGGTGGACAAGTTGTAATAAGATGGTTATCATAATTCTGTACAAATGTGTGAGAGAAAACTCCGCGTCAGCACCAGTACCTGGGTCCACTCTGGATATCCCTCGCTCCTCCCCGGGTTATACCGCCTGGGTCCAGCCTGGATTTCCCTGGATTATACTCTCTCCTGTTGTTGTCCTTGGAAAGAACTCCTTTCACCAGAATGGAATGTTTCAAGACAAAATAAGTGAAGGATACCTCACAGACTCGTCACCAGCCTCATCGTCACTTGAAGCTGTCTTCATGTTTGGTTGTATTATTTACGAGTCTTCCAACCATCAACACGCCCAGCGTCTAGTAAGCTGACAATTTAACGTCATGAAAACTCAGGTGTGACCCCCTGATGGTCCTCCTGATCATGATGGACATGGATTATGTTCAGTCAGGCTGATTCCAGCAGTGACCTACTTTGTATACACTTTCTGTTACCCACACAGCTCCAGCCACCGTATTTGTCACTCCAGTAACAGGTATTAAGCATTTCCCGACCCCCTTTGCAACAATACATACAATATACATGGATAGGGCATTCTGCTTGAAGGATAGGAGTAGGAGGCAGAGAGTGTGTTTTCCTGGGGCTGGGGTGAAGGATATTGTTAGCCGTCTGGATGACATCATGAGAGGTAATGGGAGCAATCCTATTATCTGTCTCAGTGCTGGAGGCAACGATGTTGGCAGACGTAGGAGTGAGGACCTGATTAGCAGGTATAGGTCAGCAATAGAGATAATTAGGAGGAAGGGTGGGAAACCTGTCATATGTGGCATTTTGCCAAGGAGAGGAGTTGGAAATGAATGGTTGTCCAGACCAATTGGTGTCAATTGCTGGCTGGACAAATACTGTAAGGAAAATGCGGTAACATTCATTGACAACTGGGACCTCTTCTATGGCAGAAATGACATGTATGCCAGGGATGGGGTTCACTTATCTAGGTGTAGGGTGGGAGCACTGGCCAACGCAGTGGAGGGAGCTGTTAGGTCTTTAAACTAGGAATAGTTAGTGGTATGGGTTTTGGCGGGAAAACTGTGAAGTCTCAGGGTAGTAATATGAGTACTAGGAGAACTAGTAATAGGCAAAATGAGGTGGATATTGGAAAGCCAGTGGCACTAATTGACAAGGACAGTAATAGGTTTAGTGGAATAACAGAAAGAAGCAGGAAGGGTAAAGAGAGAGGAGGATCTTTAAGTATTTTTTACACAAATAGTCGCAGTGCTAGGAATAAGATGGACGAGTTGAGACTAGTTGCTAGTGCAGGTAACATAGATGTATTTACCATTACAGAGACGTGGTTTAATTCAAAAAGTCGGGACATGCCTGCAGAATGTCACATTCAGGGTTTTAAATTGTTCCAAGTAGATAGAAGTATCGGGAAGGGGGGTGGGGTGGCATTGTATGTCCGAGATCGCTTGAACTGTTTGCATAAAAACGGGTATTAAGTCTGAAGTAACACATACAGAGTCTGTTTGGATAGAATTTTCAGAGGGGCATGAAAAATTAATTTTAGGTGTGATATACCGTCCCCCAAATTTAGATAGGGACCAGGGAGACTACTATGGAGGAAATTGTTAGGGCCACAAGGCACGATAATGTAGTAATTCTAGGAGACTTTAACTTTAGTCATATTGATTGGAATTTCTTGACTGGAAATTTAGAATCATATGACTTCTTAGAAGTAGTTCAGGATTGTTTTTTGAAGCAGTTTGTGACAGAACCTACAAGGGGTAATAACCTGCTTGACTTAGTTCTGGCAAACAATGAATCCCTTGTTAATAATTTAGAAGTTTCAAAGAACCTGGGTGCTAGCGACCACAAATCAATTACATTTAGAATTGAATGGAAGTATGATAGTAGGGATAACTCAGTAACAGTCCCAGATTTTCGCTTAGCAGATTACGATGGGCTTAGAGAACACTTATCATCTGTTGACTGGGGTAACGAAGAGAGCTATCAATATGACAGTTTTCTGAACACAATACATGCTGCTCAAAGAACGTTTATCCCTTATAAAGAAATTAGGTCAAATAGAAATGACCCAAAATGGATGAATAATAGGCTCAGACATCTACTAGGGCATAAGAAAGGAATTTATAGGCGTATCAAAAGAGGCGAGGGTCATCTTATGAATCAGTATATTGACATTAAGAGGGACATTAAAAAGGGGATAAGAAAAGCTAAAAGGGACTATGAAATTAAAGTTGCTAGGGATTCTAAAACTAACCAAAAAAGTTTTTTCCAGGTATATAGAACAAAAGTCAGAGATAAGATAGGTCCCCTTAAAAATAACTATGGGCATCTTACTGATAAAGAGAATGAAATGTGCTCGATTTTAAATAATTATTTTCTCTCGGTTTTTACACAGGAAGACACTAATAATATTCCGGTAATTAATTTTTATAGTGGGCTAGAAGAAGATAAATTATGTAACATCACAGTCACTAGTGAAATGGTTGTGAAGCAGATAGACCGACTGAAGCAAAATAAGTCACCGGGTCTTGATGAGGTTTTTTCAAGGGTTCTAAAGGAATGCAAAATGGAAGTCTGTGAACGATTAACTAATATTTTTAATTTATCTCTTCAAACAGGTGTAGTGTCTGATATGTGGAAGATGGCTAATGTAATTCCTATTTTTAAAACAGGGGACAAGTCGTTACCGCCAAATTACCGCCCAATAAGCCTGACCTCAATTGTAGGCAAATTACTAGAGTCAATTATAGCTCAAATTATAAGAAGCCATCTCGATAAGCATAACTTGATTAATGATACTCAGCATGGATTCACAAGAGGCCGGTCTTGTCTAACTAATTTATTAACTTTCTTCAGTAAAGCTTTTGAGGCTGTTGACCACGATAAAGAATTTTGATATTATTTACTTAGATTTTAGTAAGGCATTTGATAGAGTTCCGCACCAAAGACTGTTGAAGAAAGTAGCAGCTCATGGCATTGGGGGAAGGGTGCTCTCGTGGATCGAATCATGGCTCACAGACAGGAAGCAGAGAGTGTCCATAAATGGGGTTAAATCCGAGTGGGGATCAGTAACAAGTGGCGTTCCACAGGATCAGTTTTGGGGCCCGTTGTTGTTTATAATATATATCAATGATCTTGATAAAGGGAATTACTAGTTATATGAGCAAATTCGCCGATGACACGAAGATAGGTAGGAAAATTGATTCAAACGTAGATGTTAGGGAACTTCAGGAGGATTTAGACAAACTCTATTCTTGGTCAGAAAAGTGGCGATGCAGTTCAATGTAGATAAATGCAAGGTTCTGAAGCTCGGGAGTGTCCTAGCACTTATAAGTTAAATAATGTAGAACTTAGCCATACAGATTGCGAAAAGGACTTGGGGGATATGGTAAGCAGCAACTTTAAACCAAGACGGGCAATGCCTAAGCGTACGTAATAAGGCAAATAGATTACTGGGATTTAAATCAAGAAGTGTAAGCAACAGAAGTCCAGAGGTCATACTGCAGCTTTATAACATCATTAGTAAGGCCTCACCTAGATTATGCAGCTCAATTCTGGTCTCCATATTACAGAATGGACATAAATTCAGTTAGAAAAACATTCAGCGTAGGATGCCCTAAATTAAAACATAGCATTAGAAATTCTTCCTTATGAAGAAAGATTGAAGACTTTTAAGTTACATTCACTTGTTAGACGAAGAATGAGGGGAGACCTGATCGAAGTGTACAAGTGGAAGATAGGTATTAATAAAGGGGATATTAACAAGGTCTTGAGGATATCTCTCCAAGAGAGAACCCGCAGTAATGGATTTAAATTAGATAAGTTTAGATTTAGAAAGGACATAGGAAAGTATTGGTTTGGAAATAGGGTAGTTGATGAGTGGAACAGTCTACCTAGTTGGGTTATTGAGGCTAGGACTTTGGGTAGTTTCAAATTTAGGTTGGATAAGTACATGAGTGGGAGGGGTTGGATTTGAGTGGGACTTGCACATCGGAGCTTGTTTCTAGGGTGGCATTGAAAATTGGGTTGGTCAAATGTTTGTTAGTGGGATGAATTGTAAAGGACCTGCCTAGTAGGGGCCAACAGGCCTGCTGCAGTGTTCCTCATTTCTTATGTTCTTATGTTCTTATACAAACAAAGCCTTCATAATTTCACGCTCTCCACACTGACCTTAATATAACAAACTCTCAGAGAAGAAAAATGAAATACGAAAGGCAAATCTAATTTTTTGAATATCTTTCCAGTATTGTTAGTAAGCTCTTGAAAAGTGCTCAACCAGTCTAGATTCATTAAAAACCTGAGCTGTTTATCATGTCATAAGGTATAAAAGGTGCTGTCACCGTTGGCACAGTCCCTGACACTACGGCACTACTAGTGTGTGTGTATGGTGTTAGGTATCACCTCCAGTGTTATTCACAACATTTGCAAGACTATCTATACATAGATAGCTATTACCTCACACTGAGAACCCACTACGTATATCAGTCTACTGATAACCACTAATAAACCACAACACCTATAGACCTTGTGTGATAAATGGTTTAAAAAACCGACAAATTGAAAATTGAGACGGTTATGCAATATATGGGACTCTATTGAGGAAACGTTTCGCCACACAGTGGCTTCATCAGTCCAGTACAAAGCTGAAAGGTGTAAGGAGAGGAGGGGTTGAGGTCATCAGTCCCTCGGCCTGGGCTCGATGTGTTCAGTCATTCAGTCTTGTAGAATGTACAGCATAGGGCTGTAGATGTGGCTCATATACTGTAGTCATCATGGGATCTTGATACAAAGAATTCTTCAAAACTTGTCCAACCATTGCACGAAGACTTATTTAGACTAGTGGATGGTACCACTATGACCCCTCTTTCTCCTGCTTCGCCTCACCTAACTACAGTATATAAGCCACTGCTACGGCCCTATGCTGTACATTCTACAAGATTGATGGACTGAACACATCGACTCCAGGCTAAGGGACTGATTACCTCAAACTCCTCCTCTCCTTGTACCTTTTTGCTTTGTATTGGGCTGATGAAGCCACTGTGTGGCGAAACGTTTCCTCAGTAAAGATTCCCATACGTTGCATAAGTGTCTCAGACTTTACCTATAGACCTACCACTATCCACACTGATAAACCACTATTTCTAATACCCCCACAACATAGAGCAACCACTACACACACTAACCTGCCACTACCCACACAACACTGCGAGGAAACACTACACTGACAGCATCAAGAGAAGAGCACCTCAGCTATGCTCACACGCCACAGTCTGCTCACACACTGGCTCGCCTTCACACCTCGACCTAACGACTCACCCGTCCTAAGGTAACTTCGAAACTGGTTATGTAATGCTCTCTGTACCCTTGTTTTCAATTACTGATGGGAAGCCTCAGGTGGGATGTAACTACAGTGGAATCTCTCAGTCCAGTTACAACGCCATTTTGCTCACCACAAGCGCATTTTAATTTAGCCTAATCCAACTAAATATATTTTAGATAAGTTTACAATAATTTAGTAATAAACAAACACAATGAAATATATTTTTTTTTCATTAGGTTCAGAATGATTTTTGCGAAATTACTGCATACACAAATTTTCGCTTGCCTTATTCGGCAAGAAGAGCGTTGCTATTTAAGCCAAAATTGCAAGTTTTACCTATATGGCACACACACACACACACACACACACACACACACACACACACACACACACACACACACACACACACACACACACACACACCACACACACACACACCCCACACACACCCCAACACACACACACACACACACACACACACACCACACACACACACATATATATAATATTTTATATATATATATATAAAATATATATATATATATATTATATATAATTTTATATATAAATATATATAAATATATATATATATATATATATATCGTGCCGAATATGTAAAACTGGTCAATTAGCAAGAACTAATTTAAAATTAAGTCCTTTCTGAAATTTGCTCTTATACGTTTAATGATATATTTTTTTCATTATTGATAATGTAAAAAATGTTAATTTTGCACCAAAAGGAACTTAGAAAACTTACCTAACCTTATTATAACAAGAGCAATTTATTTTAGCCTAACCCAACTAAATCTAATTTAGATTTGTTTATAATAATTTAATACTAAACAAACACAGTGAAATATATTTTTTTCGTTAAGTTCAGAATGATTTTGGTGAAATTATTGCATACACAAATTTTCGCTTGTCTTACATGGCAAGATGAACGTTGCTATTTAAGCCAAATCGCAAGTTCTGCCTATTCGGCACGACATATATATATATATATAATATTATATATTTTATATATATATATATATAATAATATATATATATATATAAATATATTAAATAATAAATATAATTATATATATATATATAAATATATATATATATATATATATATATTATACATACATATTGGGATATTGGTAGTTTGGAGGGACGTCTAAGCTGTCGTGTCTGAGCGCTTCTGCAAAGACATTGAATATGTGTGAATAATGGCGAAAGTGTTGAATGATGGTGAAAGTTTTTTCTTTCTCTTTCGGTCACCCTGCCTCGGTGGGAAACGACCAACGTGTTAAAAAAATTAGTATCCCTTTTTAAATTTAGTAATGTATATAGGAGACTACCTCCTTAAGACCATGCTAGAGAGTGTATTGAATCATTCCCTTGAAGATGGACAGTAACAAGCCTCACTTCCAGTCTGGCTTGGGGGGCTGCCAGTACGCAAATCCTCAAAGATTGCCCTACCAGCTTTCCTATCCGCTTCCATAGTATCAAATGAGTTAATAAAACAAATTTTTCCTGTCAACCTCAGTGACTCAGCAGGAACACAGGACCCTAGCTTGTGATGTAGTTCAGCTGGTCTTGTGAGGTCTCTGGGGAGACCTAATTTAACCAATTATATGGTCACACCTTGCCTTGGCAAACGTCTGTCAGCCACGCCTTTTCGGCTTAAGACTTAGGTCTTTTGTTTTGGACGGCGTCAGAACAAAAGACCTCAGTCTTAAGCCGAAAAGGCGTGGCTGACAGACGTTTGCCAAGGCAAGGTGTGACCATATAATTGGTTAAATTAGGTCTCCCCAGAGACCTCACAAGCCCAGCTGAACTACATCACAAGCTACGCCAGTGCCATCACTGAATGGTAGATTCTTGCTGCTCCAGCACCAAAACCTAGTGCAGCATTAGCCTACAAACAGTCAAATTGGGATGGTCCCATCGCTGAAAAGGTGCTTGCCAACATGCTTATGGATGTAACATCAGACAGGGAGACTGCCAATCTCCAAGCTGTGAGTGCACATCACTCTGGGGACTTCCTCCAAACAGTTCTCATTTTGGCAATGGGAACAGGCCTCGACCCTAAGACTCCGTATTGCAGTGGCTCTCAGCCTCGCTGCCCCAATTCACACAGAATATATGTCTATTTGAGGCGATGTGCAAGCCGACCAATATGGTCTATATATAACTGTTCCAAACCAAGAGCTGGGGATGCAGACACACTGAAGCAACGACATCAAAAGAAGAGCCTTGCACAGCAAACCTCCCCCAACGGGATCAGCGTCTATCCCGGCAGAATGCAAGCTTTAGCATTGGACTATACCTACGTGTCGACTCTGGCTGACACCTACATCCATCAAGTTCGGCAAGAGGGAGGTGCTGCGGATCACAGGGAGGAGTACATGATCACTAAGTAAGGAGACATAGGCCATCAATATCAGTGGGATCGGAGTCCCTGGGATCATGAAAGAAGAATATCAAACGTTTCATCAAAAAAACTGGTTCCAGGCTCACTGGAACCACTAGGGACCCAAGGGCGACAACATTCATGTTCCAGCGCCTCAACGTGGGTATCCAGAGGGAAAATGCCTTGTTGCGTAGTTGGCTCACGTCCAGCTTCAGAGGAGCTGGAAGAGATTCATAATCTTTGATGTGTTGTAATATTATTTACATGTTTGTGCCTTATAAATAAGTAATCCCTGACCTAATATGTATATACCGAAGTGTTCCTCCTTTCTTATATATATATATAATAATTTTAATATATTATATATATATATATATAAATATATATTATATAAATAATTTTATTATAAATATATATAATATATAATATATATAAAAATATATATATATATAAAATTATTATTATTATTATAAAAATTTTATATATTATTTAAAAATTATGGAAGAGGGTAAGGTACCTAGGGATTGGCAGAGAGCATACATAGTTCCTTTGTATAAAGGCAAAGGGGATAAAAGAGAGTGCAAAATTATAGGGGAATAAGTTTGTTGAAATATACCTGGTAAAGTGAAGGTAGAGTTATTATTGAAAGAATTAAGAGTAAGACGGAGAGTAGGATAGCAGATGAACAAGGAGGCTTTAGGAAAGGTAGGGGGTGTGTGGACCAGGTGTTTACAGTGAAACATATAGGTGAACAGTATTTAGATAAGGGTAAAGAGGTTTTTGTGGCATTTATGGATTTGGAAAAAAGCATATGACAGGGTGGATAGGGGGGCAATGTGGCAGATGTTGCAGATGTATGGTATAGGAGGTAGGTTACTGAAAGCAGTGAAGAGTTTGTACGAGGGTAGTGAGGCTCAAGTTAGAGTATGTAGGAGAGAGGTAGATTATTTCCCAGTAAAAGTAGGCCTTAGACAAGGATGTGTGATGTCACCATGGTTGTTCAATATACTTATAGATGGGGTTGTAAGAGAAGTGAATGCTCGGGTGTTGCCAAGAGGCGTGGAGTTAAAAGATAAAGAATCAAACACAAAGTGGGAGTTGTCACACTTGCTCTTTGCTGATGACACTGTGCTTTTGGGAGATTCTGAAGAGAAGTTGCTGAGGTTGGTGGATGAATTTGTTGCAGTTTAAAAACTGTAGTGTAAAGCACCCTTCTGGCAAGACAGTGATGGAGTGAATGATGGTGAAAGTTTTTCTTTTTCGGGCCACCCTGCCTTGGTGGGAGACGGCCAGTGTGATAATAAAAAATAATAATAATAAAATGTAAAAGAAAGTGAATATAAGAAAGAGTAAGGTTATGAGGATAACAAAAAGATTAGGTGAGGAAAGATTGGATATCAGATTGGAGGGAGAGAGTATGGAGGAGGTGAATGTATTCAGATATTTGGGAGTGGACGTGTCAGCGGATGGGTCTATGAAAGATGAGGTGAATCATAGAATTGATGAGGGGAAAAGGGTGAGTGGTGCACTTAGGAGTCTGTGGGGGACAAAGAAATTTGTCCTTGGAGGCAAAGAGGGGAATGTATGAGAGTATAGTTTTTAACCAACGCTCTATATGGGTGTGAAGCATGGGTATGAATGTTGCAGCGAGGAGAAGGCTGGAGGCAGTGGAGGATGTCATGTCTGAGAGCAGTGTGTGGTGTGAATATAATGCAAGAATTCGTAGTTTGGAACTTAGGAGGAGGTGCGGGATTACCAAAACTGTTGTCCAGAGGGCTGAGGAAGGGCTGTTGAGGTGGTTCGGACATGTAGAGAGAATGGAGCGAAACAGAATGACTTCGAGAGTGTGTAAATCTGTAGTGGAGGGAAGGCGGGGTAGAGGTCGGCCTAGGAAGGGTTGTAGGGAGGCGGTAAAGGAGGTTTGTGTGCGAGGGGGTTGGACTTCCAGCAAGCATGTGTGAGTGTATTTGATAGGAGTGAATGGAGACAAATGGTTTTTAATATTTGACGTGCTGTTGGAGTGTGAGCACAGTAACATTTATGAAGGGATTCAGGGAAACCGGCAGGCCGGACTTGAGTCCTGGAGATGGGAAGTACAGTGCCTGCACTCTGAAGGAGCGGTGTTAATGTTGCAGTTTAAAAACTGTAGTGTAAAGCACCCTTCTGGCAAGACAGTGATGGAGTGAATGATGGTGAAAGTTTTTCTTTTTCGAGCCACCCTGCCTTGGTGGGAGACGGCCGATGTGCCAAAACAGCATGGGTTCGACTCCTTGGCTAGTGCAGTGTTGTTATTGATCAATACCACTTGTTCCGTGGGTACAATAATGTATATATATATATATATATATATATAAATATATATATATATATATATATATATATATATATATATATATATATATATATATATATAAAATATATATAAAATATATATATATATATATTATAATATATTTTAATATATATATATATATAATTATATATATTTTATATATATATTTTATATGCAATAAGATCACAGTAAACAAGTGATTTCGAATAGCAAAAAAACCCACTGTGAAAGAATAGAGAAATTCCAAGCGCTTTCGTGACTAC